GGAGAAAACAATAGACAAACGCAAGTCGTACCTTGATATACACTTTCATTCGTTGAGAAAGTATTCTTGGCAAACCGGAAGGAAGCTCCATTCGATCGAACAAAGGCAGTTCACTCACCTGAATTATTCAAACTAGTAAACAAATAAAGAATGTGCTCAAAAAAAACAACCAGCAAATAACTGAACAAACCTTGTCCCACGAGTCTTTATCTATTGATCCGCACAAATTGCAAATCATGGTCAGTTGCTTTTGTTCAGTGTCGCCTTGCATGATCGGAGAACGCGTCCACAATTCGGCCATGATGCAGCCGGCTCCCCACATGTCTATTGATGTGGTGTACTGCCTGTCTCCTGAATAAGCCTAGTTTTATAGAAGAAGAAACAGCAAAATGTAATGGAGGCTTATTTTTCTTCAGCACGGTTACTTCTACGTAAAGTACAGCTACAACAGCTCTTTAGCGCAGCACTTTTGACAATAAAATTATGCAGCAATCGTTTCCGACCGAAATTCCACTTCAGGAGATTGAAGCATCGAATTCTAAAGACAGCCAAGAGCAATTATGTAAATGAAAATGATGACCGCATATTCACATCTATCTAAGGGTGAGAAACCAAAATTCAAACGATAGTGAACAATTTGATTAAAATCTGTTCAAAAAGAGTATGAAGTTCAAGTTAAAAGGATACCTAGCAATAGTTCTGGAGGACGATACCATAGCGTTACGACACGATTTGTGTAGAGTTGCCGAGGATGACCTGTCAGAAAAGTTGTAAGAAAAATAGCGAAAATTCAAAGACGCACACTTACAAAAACCACATGCTGCTTATTCAGGCCGACTGATATCTAACCAAACTAATTAGTAAAAGGGCGTTGTGAGGGTTCGGTACTCAAGCAGCTTTCTAAATCAGGTGAGCGTTGATGGGAGATTTTAGAAGCAGCGCATGGCCTTTCGGGAGGAAGCTATTTATTGCTAGGTCATTAGTAATGTCCAACGTTTAATGCTGGATTCAAAATTGCACAACTTTCTTATTAATCAACTTGACTGAGTGCGACAGCACCACAACTGGCTACCAGTGTCCTCCATCGACTGGCTGGTAAATGAATATCTTTCTGCCAGAACAATGTCTTCTTCGATGCGAAAAATGACAGGAGGCCTCCTTCAAAGTAATCGCGATTACCATAGCTCTTTTCTTCCAGAGAGTGAACAAGCAAGCGGATCAAGTGCTTATTAGTCGGATTAGTCGGTGCGAGATCAGAGGAATATGGAGGGCGAGAAAGAACTTCGAAACTGAGCTCCTGTATTGCCCCCTTGGGTATCCCTTGTGGCAAGTGAACGTGCGTTATCCTGCAGCAGAAAAAAAAATCGTCCGAGGGAGGCTCTAGTTTTGTGAGCTTCGCAGAAAGTCAACGCATCTGCAGAGAGTAGGTGTCCGAGTCAATAGTGGTATTGTCATCCATGAGTACGTAGTAGTTCACGCCGCGAATACTCCAAAGAACAGAAAGGAGAACCTTCTTAGGGTTTATAGCATTTCGAGTCAGCCTCGGCTGCTGATCTGCATTCAGATACGGCCACCACAATCTATGGTTTGCGCAGACCTCAATGCGCTCAAAATCTACGGTCACTGACGTCCCGAACGTGCTTGCTCTTTAAAGCTGTAATTGCCTTCGCGTAACATCTGGAACCAACGTCGTCAGGTTCGTTCGCTTACAGGTTCTGGCCCTTCCGTGACACGAATTTTTTGAGAGGCTTAGCCAGCTGTGTGTTCTAGATGGGACCCATTAAGCATGCATGGCGAAAATAGTTAATATGCACGGCATTATTGCTCTTTATAAAAGAGTGAGGACGCTCAAATCTTATGAGGTGAAAAGCTACTACGGCCATATATTCTTGGAAGAATAAGAGAGACATGTTTAAGAAAGCCTTTCGTGGTCTTGACGAAAGCGGACATTACCGACCCAATACTAGCACTAATAGCAGCCGTAATATGAAACGTAGAGAGATAGGAAATTTTACATACCCATGTAAAACGGTCTTGCAAGTCCAAAATCGGCTAGCTTTAGTATTCCGTCCCGGAAAGCAACACGTTGGCAGCTTTCATATCTCGATGCAGAATCTTAGAGCGATGAATCTTCCACAAACCATTGAAAAGATGCTGAAAATTAGTTTCCTATTTGTAACGGAGAACCATGAAAATATTTGTTCTTCC